GCAACATACCGGCGACGGGAGAGGGGGTAGTGGAGCTTGCCATGTAAGGACGACTGGAGTCACTCCCCTCTCCCTCACTCCCAAGAAACCACCTTGCTTCCGCCTCTGGAAGAAGGGAAAAAGGAGGAGGCCAGGTAGGAGGAAGGAGAGGACCTAGGGAGGGGGAGAGGGTCCTTCAGGAATGTTCGATTTTTTTTTTTTAAATATGTGTTTATAATTTCTTTGAACAGGTAGTCGTCGTCATGAAGTTGGTGCGTTTCCTGATGAAACTTGCTCACGAGAGTGTTACCATTGAGCTGAAGAATGGCACACAAGTCAATGGTACCATTACTGGCGTGGACGTGGCAATGAACACACATTTGCGAACGGTTCGAATGACGCCAAAAAATCGCGAAGCCGTTTCACTTGATTCGCTCTCCATACGAGGTACAGCCTCCTGCGCCAGTTGTTTACAGCTAAGGGATGAGACACTTTGACTGCTCTCCAACACAGCATGCGTACAGGCCCGTGAATTTTTTTTTTTTTCGTGTAAGTTGCTAACTTAGAAACCAGAAAAGCTTGAAAGCTGAAATTTTAAGGGGATTGTTTCCTCACTGACGGCCAGTTTTAATTTGTTTAACTGGAAGCATTTGCTGGGAAAATCGGTGCCGTTAGCGACAAAAATCTGCAGGAAACTATGCAAAAAACGCATCTTCGCACGGACAACCCGTGTGTTGGCCAAATATTCTCTCTTGGGTTTAAATATACGGCAAAAGTTACCAGAGGCAGAAGCACCTACTGGATTTGGAATTATTTTGTATAATTTAGCTAGGCAAAGCTATGATTATAGCTCTCTGATAGCTTGTAGTTTTGCAGGGAACAACATTCGGTACATAATTTTGCCGGACACAATTCCGCTGGACACTCTATTAGTTGATGATGAGCCGCGCAAAAAGGCACCACGTGGAGGACGTGGCCGAGCTGTTCCGTCTCGTGGTGGACGTGGCCGTGGTCGTGGAAGAGGTGGACCACGTGG